AGCAGTAGTAATATGACTATAGTCATATTCGAATATGACTACTGTTTGAATATGACTATAGTCATAATCAAATATGTTCCATATTTTCGTTTCAAGTTGACTTGTAATAACAACATTCAAATTGTGATTTTTTGTGTGGATGTTTTTCGTAAACAATAGGCAATCTTCGTTTTTTTTATATAATTTGGTAAACATGACTCTACTACATTATATAATCGGAATTTATAAAATGAAAATATAAAAAATTGCAATATAAAGAAGAAATATGACTATAGTTAATATAATCATGTTCATCTATAGTCATATTCTGCAAAGTAAATAAGTTGAGAAAAAAAATCATTTTTTTGTTTAAAAAAAATTAAAAAAATATTTTTATTAAAAAAAAATAAAAAAAATAATGCGAAATAAATCCGAAATAATTAAAAATAAGAAATAAAAAAAAAACGAATAAATCCGAAATAATAAAAAATAAAAAATAAAATATTCAGTTATTTATTTATTTTTGATTTGGTAGCATATTTTTAGGAATTTGGTAGCAGATTTTTAGGAAATTAAATTGTTGTTATGGAAAGAGAGAAAAAATGAATAATTGAGATAAATTATGCTAATTGACACAAGGGTATTATTGGGAATACAATTTTTAGGGGGTTATCACAAAGAAAGATTTAAAGAGTGGATATATCACTATTTATTAGCTATATAAGGGGCTTATTGCTAATGACCCCTTATTATTATTATAAATTAGGGGTAACGGCAAATAGGCTCATGACAAGGTCACTTAATTAAAAGAGGGACATCCAACTTTTTTGTCTTTCAAATAAATCCAGCTCATTCAAACTTATTTGCAAATAAGGAAAATCCTTTTATATATACCAAAATTACCCCCAATTCATTGAAACCCAATTTAACTTCAATTTCATGATTTACACCCCAATTTAGCCCAATTAACCAATTTTAGCCATAATTTCAATTTTAACCCCAATTTTGACCCGCCACCACCGGAGACCGCCGGTCGCCGCCGTTGACTGGCGTTTACTTTTTTTTTTTTTTTTTTGAAATTCTTTTTTTCCTGAAATTTTTTTCTGGGCGGTCAACTGTCGTTGACCGTCGGGTCTCCGGCGTTGATTTTTTTTTTTTTTTTTTTTCTATAATTTTGTTTTTTCTTAAAAAAAATATTTTAATTAATATTACTGTCTTGGCTGCTAAATTACTGTCTCCGACAGTTATTTAACTGTCGGAGACAGTAATTTAACTGTTAATTGACTCTTTTTTTTTTTCTTCAAAAATATTTTAATTAATATTACAGTATTTGTTGCTAAATTACTGTCTGAGACAGTAATTTAGTAGCCAAGACAGTAATATTAATTAAAATATTTTTTTCTAAGAAAAAAAAAAAAAAAAACAACGCCGGAGACCGGCGGTCAATGGTGGTTGACCGGCCGGAAAAAAAATTCAGGAAAAAAATTTTCAAAAAAAAAAAAAAAAAGTCAACGCCGGAGACCGGCGTGCTCCGGCGGTCAACGCCGAAATCTGGCCGGAAAAAAAAATTAGAAAAAAAATTATTTTGTGAAAAAAAAAGTTTTGGGGGTTAATGTGATATATTTGTTTAAATCCGGGGTCAATGTGTAATATTAAGGAAGTTAGAGCATAATGGGTGGAATTGATAAGAATTATATTATTGACGGTATTTTAGACTAAAGACATGGGGATGTGTTTAATTGAGAGACTGTTTTTTTTGTGAACCAAAATGCATTTAAGTCCCATGTGATGGGCCTTTCTGCCATTTGCCCTATAAATTATATCAATATTTTTTAGGTGATTTGATTTTACCTATAATTCACATGCACACACGTGACGGCTCCCTCGATCCTACACCCGGTGAAAAACATTGGGTGGGTCTTCTGCTGCCACGTGTTCCTTTTTTTATTTTTCTAAAACCCCTAAAGGTAAACCCTAGCGGGAAATATATTATAGGGTAAATTACACACACCCCCCTGAGGTAAGCTTAAATAACTGTAAGGTCCCTGTGGTATGATAATTACACTTAGACCCCTGAAACGTAGTCAGAAACTCCTATGGCATAA